ACTACCGGGTTGCACGATGCCATGTAACCTAGTAGCTGAAGACAGTTGTGTGCTGTGACTTGTGGTATTAGGCACAACTTGAGAAGTAGGTCACAGATCTTTAAGAACCTGTCTTGTGGTAGGGAGGCTATCGCGGTCATCAAATCCAGCTGTGCTCTGATTAATTGTATGGATTGAGTTGGTGAGTGCCCTGATTTTGTCTGATCTATTAAGAGACCCAGAGAATGGAAGCATACTTTGACCAGGAAAGCACTTTGATGAAAATCGTCCTTCGTTCTTACTTTGATGAGACAATCATCAAGATAAAGGTAGATAATAATGTTCTGTTTTTTCCTCCAGCATCTTGGAAAAAAACTCTCGGTGCTGTGGACAGTCCAAAAGGTAGGACAGTATATTGGTAATGTTGCATACCGAAGGTAGAATCAGAGAAAACGTCTATGAGCAGGATGAATAGAAACATGAAAATAGGCTTCCTGTAAGTTGAGACACAAAAGCCAATCCTCTAGCTCCAGAGAAGGGATAATGGTAGTCAGCATTACCATCTTAAATTTTTGCTTCTTTTCAATAAATTTGTAAAGTCTAAGGTCCAAAATTGGGCACCATCCTCCATTCTTGCTGTGTTGATATCTATACTGCCTCCTTCTGGTTGCAGGTGTGTAGATACCAAGAGAGCAGGGCATTGCCTGGGAATCCTTCATAGAATGAAGAATCTCGTTGGTCTTAGCTGAAAACAGCTTCTTGCCCTTGAATGGTAAAACCTCCATGGTTGCCTATATTTCATGGAGAAACACCAAAGAATTGAACCAGGAGGCCCATCTCATAGCAACTGCAGTTGCTATCAATCTGGTGGCAGTGTCTGTAGTGTCAAGAACAGCTTTTAGAGATGGTCTTGATACTGCATGTCCTCCCACAATGACTACCTTGAATTGTTGCTTCAGTTAGTGTATGTCTAGACTACATGCCTCTGTTGCCAGAGGCATGTAAATTAGACTACCTGATACAGTCTATGAAGCCAGGATTTAAATATCCCTGGCTTCATTAAAATAAAAATGCCCGCCGTGCTGTGCCGGCTCAACTGATCGTCGGCACAGTGCAGCAGTCAAGATGCGGATTGGTTGACAAGGGAACACCTTTGTCAATCGCTCCTGTAAACCTCATTTCACGAGGCATAAGAGAGTGGTCGACAAAGGCGTTCCCTGTCGACCAATCCGTGTCTTGACTGCCGCGCTGTGCCAACGATGAGCTGAGCCGGCACAGTGCGGCGGCCATTTTTATTTTAATGACGCCTGGGATATTTAAATCCTGGCTTCATTGACTATGTCGTGTAGTCTAATTTACATGCCTCTGGCGACAGAAGCATGTTGTCTAGACATACCCTTATACAGGTGGTTATGAGTTTTGAGATGCGCTGGGATCATATTGGGTGTCCTTTCCATCTTTCGGCTAGAGACACAATTAGTCAGTCAGTTCTTCTGAAAGGTCTCGTACATTCTATGTAAAAAGCAAGAGCTCTTCGAATGTCAAGTGTATGGAGGGCCACTTCATGTGGGGAGGCATGAGGTTTCAGGTGAAAAGATGGGAGGACAATTGGTTCATTCACATTAAAGCTTGACGATACCTTTGGGATAAATGTTGGGTGAAATCTTAGGACTTTGCTAACCTTATTGAAGATGGTATATGGGGGTGTTGCCATCAGAGCTGATAACTCGCCAACTCTATGTGCTGACGTAATGGCAAGAAGAAAAACTACCTTCATGGTTAATGTCTGAAGCAATATGGTAGCGAGCAGTTCAAATGGTGAAGTAGTTAAAGCTTCGAGTATAACATCTAAGTTCCACACTGGAGGAATGGGCTTATGGGGAGAGCTTAAGTTCATAAGGCCCTTCATGAATCTTTTCGTGGTTGGGTGGGTGAAGAGGGAGGTGTCCGCAATAGGTTGTCTGAATGCTGAAATGGCTACTAGAGGGACTCAGAGAGGCTAGCCAGAGTCCTGTGTGGTGTAGGTGAAGCAAGTAATTGAGGATAACGTGAAGTGGAGTCAACTCGGGAAGCTCTTGCTGTGTGGCACACCAGGAAACGAACCTGCACCATTTTGAAAGGTAAGTGGTTCTGGTTGTTTGTTGTCTACTGTAGATGAGAATGTATTTGACTTGTGCGAAACAAAGGGATTCAAAAGGATTCAGCCAGTTAGGAACCACGTGGTGAGGTTCAGCATGTATATCTGGGAGTGTCGTAATGAGCCTTGATTCTGTGTGAGGATGTTCGGGAGGGCTGGAAGTAGAAATGGTCTGCGTGGTGACATGCATCAGAGGAAAGGGAACCAGTGCTGATGTGCCCAAACTGGGACTATCAGTATGACCATGGCTCTGTCCATTCTCACCTTCTACAGAACTTTGGGGATGAGAACTGTAGGTGGGAAGGCATATAGGAAAGGTCCATTCCAGTTGGTGAGTAACGTGTGGCCTAGAAAGCCCAGACCGAGTCCTGCTCTAAAACAGTACTTCTGACATTTTTTGTTGTGACGAGTGGCAAAGAGATCTATTAGGGGACTGTCCCAGTGTTGGAAGAGAATATGGAGGACCCCATCATGTAGTTCCCACTCATGATTCGGGGCAAAGTGTCTGCTAAGAAAATCCGCCGCGACATTCGTAGTTCCAGGTAAGTAGGATGCCACAGGTGTTATTCCATTGCAAATGTACCAGTTCCAAAACTGGATTGCCTCCACACAAAGGGAGCGGGATTGAGCTCCACCCTGACGGGTTCACATAATACATTGCCGCAACATTGTCTGTGAGGATTCTCACTGTGGCATTGTGGATGTGTTCGTGGAAGTATCTGCAGGCATTAAAAATCACACAGAGCTCCAGAAGGTTTATGTGGAGTCATGTCTCTGATGGTGACCATCGGCCCTGTGTGGACATGGTGTCCATACGTGCACCCCATCCTAGGAGGGAGACGTCGGTGGTGATGTGGTGTGAGGGTTGCTGTTGGTGAAAGGGTACACGGGTAAGAAGGTTTGTGTGATTTGTCTACCAGCTGAGTGACTGAAGGACGGATTGTGGAGGGGTCACTGGCCTGTAAAGGTCGCATTTCATGTGATTGTAAACTAGTGCTAGCCAATACTGGAGGCTGCGAAAATGTAGTCTGGTGTAGCATACCATGTAAAGTAGTGGCAGCCATGTGCCTTATAAGCTTCAGACAAATGATTGTCTGAACAGTTGGGCTGCCTCGAATGATTTGTATCAGTTCTTGAATGGCCTAGAATCTTTGGAATGGTAAGTATGCCCTGGCGGTGTTCACATCTCGCCTGGCACCGATGAATTCCAGCTCTTGAGTAAGGTGATAACTGGACTTTTGGTCATTGATAAGAAGTCCGAGGCTATGGAAGGTTTTCATGGTGGTGCGGACAATATTGAGAACTTCAGTATGAGTGTGACCCTTGAGTAAGCAATCGTCCAGATAAGGATATATGATTACTCCTTGTTGGCGGAGGTGTGCCATTACTACTGCCAGGGTTTTTGAGAATACCCTGGGGGCGGATGAGAGGCCAAATGGTAGGACTTTGTACTGGTAATGAACCCTGCCGACTGTAAATCGTAGGAATCTTCTGTGCGCTGGATAGATTGAAACATGAAAATACGTGTCCTGGAGGTTGAGGGCAGCAAACCAGTCATTGCAATCTAACGCAGGCACTATAGCAGCAAGTGTCAGCATCTTGAATCATTATTTTCATAGAAATCTGTTCAAACAGTGGTGATCTAGTATTGGTCACCATCCCCCTGACTTTTTTGAGCGAGAAAATAATGGGAATGAAAGCCCTTGCCCTTGAACTCATCCGGGACTGGTTCTACTGCCCCTAAGGAGAGCAGATGGTCAACTTCGATGTGTAGCAGGGCTTCATGAGATGGGTCCCTGAAGAGGGACGGAGTGGGGAGGGGGTGTAGTGGGAGGAATGGCAAGGAAGGGAATGGAATATCCTGATTGAACTATTTCCAACACCCACTTGTCCGCGGTGATTGTGGCCCATTGATGGTAAAATGGTCTTAAACGTTGGTGAAAGAGGAGGGTGTGGTGACTGCTGCTGCTGTAGGAGATTCTCTGCATACCCCCGACCAAGACATCAAACTTACTGATTGTTGTTGGATGGGGTCTGTATACGGTTGCCCAGGTTTTGACGCCTTTGGGGTCTTTGGCATGGGCATTGGTGGTTGAAGGTTCTTTGTTGTTGCTGCCACTGTTGTCTGACATATGGGTAGTCCTACCGTTGTTGATAAGGAGTATATCAATGTCTCCTATACGGCAGAGTATACATACCCAATGTCCGAAGGGTTGTGTGAGAGTCCTTGGAAGAATATAATACGCTATCAGTCTCTTCGGCAAATCGTTTGTCCCTGTCAAATGGTAAATCTTTGACTTGATTTTGTAGGTCCTTTGGGACTCCCGCTGCTTGAAGGTAAGATGCTCGCCTCATGACTACCAGTGTGGCCATGGAACAGGCTGCTGTATCTGCCACATCCATTGCTATCTGGAGGGCTGTTCTCGCCGACGTATAGTATGGGCCTTTTAGACTCTGGCAGGTGGTCCATCAGTGGTGTCAGCTTTGTAAATCTATCGAATATGTGATTGGAGAGATGTTCAGAATTGCCAATTACACTGCACATAAGTGTTGCGGAAGTGTAGACTTTTCTGCCCAATAAATCAAGTCTTTTTGTGTCTTTGTCTGAAGGGGCATGTTTGTATTGTGGCATTTTTAACCTTTGATGGGCCATGTCCACTACTAAAGAGTTGGGCTGGGATGGGTGAAAAGGAATTCCATACCCTTGGGAGGTACAAAATACTCCGTCAGCTTTCTTGCTGGTCGGTGGTGCAGAGGCTGGGGTTTTTCAGATTTCCTCTGTGACCTCCAATATAGCTTCATCTAGGGGGATAGCAGGCCTGGATCTATGTTGTGGCTGGAGATTTTTAAGAAGACAATGCTGTTTGTCTTTTATTTCATCCAGCGGTATTTCTTGGCTAACAGCCACTCATTTGAAGAGCTCTTGGAACTGCCAGAGATTGTCCAGCAAGGAAACGTCCCCAGGAATGAAAGCTTCGTCTGGGGAAGAAGAGTGGTCAGTAGGGGACACCTCTGGTTGGTGTTCCTCAGTGGAAAGGTGGGTGTCATCTGGCTCTGATGGGAGTTGAGGTGGAGATGTCGGTTGTCCCGTTGGAGTAGGAGGAGCTGGAGTCGGTGAGTGTCTAGAAGATGCGCAGTCACAATATGATCTTTCGTGCAATCTAGGCCTATGAATGAAAAGACTTGGTGTATGTCAAACTGGTACTGTGAGCAAATGTAGTTTATGGCCTTCTTGATACCTGCCAGGACAAACTCCAGCATCTGGGGAAGGAAGAAGGAGGAAGGGCAAATATCTCTTACCACACAAGTTGAAAATGGTTGCCCACATTCTGGAAGAAATCTCATTTCATTGACTTTATATCTGCTACCCAATAATTTAGCAATTTTAGGGCAGATCCCTTTGCTAGGAACTAAAACGCTTCTGCTTGCAGGACAGGAGAATCCAGAAAGATAGGTACAGCAAGGGCTGATAGAAAGTGAGAAGAAACTGTAGTTTTGGAAAGTTGCTTTTCTGTTTGTCCACTCAGTTGTAAGCCCGAGATGAAGGCTGCCTAGCACAATGGGGCTTCAATTGAGGATAGAGCCTTTAGGTAGCACCAGAATATAAACAGGAATACTAATACATTGCAAAAGGGGCAAAGAACCCGGAGGCTACGAATACACTGCAATTCTCTTTCAGGAAACCGGACTACGAATACACTGCAATTCTCTTTCAGGATACCGGACTATCCTGAAATAGCTACCCCACATCTTAACAGCAAGCCTGTTATTTTGGGCTCATTATTCTGACGTCCCTGTGAACCTCATTCCACAAGGAGTAAGGAACATTTTGGAATAGAAATTTGGTGCTGTGTAGACAGTGCCAAAATACAAAATAAGCTATTTCGAAATAAGATCGAAATAATACACAATTTGCGTAGCTCAGATTGTGTATCTTATTTTGAGCTAAGGTGTAGTGTAGACACACCTTGAGAAAAGGAACCTAGATGGAGCGGGAGAATCACAGCCAACTGTGAACAGCTGGGCTTCATCCTGACCTTCTGGAGTACTTAGGAAATAAAGGGAGAAAAGGGAACAGAACATGCCAATTCTGCAACCTGAGAATTACGTAAACATACATTTGATAGTGAAAGTCAATTTATGATAGTACATCTCTTATCAAACAGACCAAACATTAACTTGTACATTATGATGTGGGGAAAAAGCAGTGAGATTGGTGCTTATCTTTTTACACTTGGTCACCCACATTACTTTTATGGCTGAGTTTAACAGGCTTGTCTTTTCCTCCAAGAACAAATGAGTAACTTTCTTTGTCCTCAGAACTTCTGTGTGGCTTTACATTTTGGCATAATCTTGCTTCCCCTGCCTCCCATTAGAGGAAAACTTGACAAAAATTTAAGACTATGGGCCCCAGAATTTGAGGAAAGAGTATTAAAGGTTTAATCAGAAATTGCAGGTTAATCTCAAGTTACTCATTTCAGAGATGAAATGTATGTATATTTTGTATGTGTAGTTTCCAGGGAAAAAGTTTCCATTTTTGTACCATGATACTTGTTCATATCAACTTCTACTGTCTTGTCCCTTACCTTCATAGTTATAGTCCATTAGTTTGTCACAATAGCTATGTTAAGGATTTTCATCTATATTTTAGACATGGCTCTCTATACTTTCAGAAAAGCATGGGTGATCTATTTGTATCTTCTAAGGACCTACCTAAGAATGTTACTTGAAATGATTAACTAGGCCTATTTCCTCCATTTTGGATTTAAATCTCGGTGAGTCTAGAGGATTAAGACAACATTAAGGAAGTGGAGATGAAATCTTGCACAGAAACTATATCTATAACTATAAAATGACCTTTACCTCTAGTGAATTCTGTGACAGAGACCAGTTCTTGTTGGATTAGTTTTTATTAGATTTTAGCCTCTGGACAGCTGAATATAGTTGGTATAACAGATCTCCAGGAATCTCCAGCAATATCCTTGAAAAACCACATTATATTAATGAGACAGAATATACTCATGTTCACACCTTGCACGCTATTGTAATAATGTTTGTATAATATGTTATTTAAAAACTTCTAACTTGCTGATCAATAATAATGGTAAAATGCACATAGAAGCATTATATATAAAGTTTTAAAACTAGATCATGTCCAAAAGTATGGTTTTCCAGAGAAATCTAGGAAGTGGTCAAACCTCCTGGTCCTCAGGACAAAGGGGAAGCTGATGCCTCAGCCAACTGCAAACAAGGCCAATTTATTATAGTGAATGCTATTGGAAATGGGGTAGACATAAAAGTTAAAATAGGAAAAGAAGCCCTTAAAAATTACATTGAGAAGTTAGATATCTTCAAGTTACCAGGGCCTGACCAAAGTCATCCAAGAATATTCACAGAGCTGATAAAGGAAGTATCTGAGCCATCAGCTATCATCTTTGAAAAGTCATGGAAGTTGAGAGAGATTCTGGAAGACTGGAAAAGGGCAAAGGTGTCTGGTTTTGAACTGGACAGTCCAGTATTTGAGCTTTCCATTCAGGAAACAAATTGAGAAAATTTAAATGAGAAAATATAAACATCCTGTATTTTCTAAATTAGATGTAATGTAGATTGTGATGTAATGTCAAGTGTGTCCGGTATTTCTGTTGAAACCATCTGGCAACCTTAAATGCAATGCCCATCTCTAAAAATGAAAATAACCCAGGAAACTACAGACCAGTCAAGTTAACTTCTGTGCCAGGAAAGATAATGGAGCAAATAATTAAGCTAATCTGCAAACACCTGGAAGATAATAAAATGACAGGTGGTAGCCAGAATGGATTTGTAAAGAACAAAACATATCAAACCAATCTGATAGCTTTTTTTTTTTAATAGTATAACAAGTCTTGTGGATGACAGAGAGGCAGTAGACATGCAATACCTAGACTTAAGCAACACATTTGATACAGTCTTGCATGACCGTCTTATGAATAAAATAGGGAAATAGAGCCTATATGGGGCTACCATAAGGTGGGTGCAGTTATTAATGGTTCACAGTCATGTTGGAAGAGAATAACAATTAGGGTTTTACAGGGGGTCAGTTTTACGACCAGTTCTGTTAAATATCTTCATCAATGGTTTAGCTAATGGCATAGAGTGTACACTTATAAAGTTTGCAGATGATACCAAGCTGGGAAGGATTGCAAGTATTTTGGAGAATAGGGTCATAATAAATGATCTGGACAAACTGGAGAAATGGTCCGAGGTAAACAGGATGAAGTTTAATAAGTACTCCACTTAGAAAGGAACAATCAGTTCACACACACCAAATGGGAAGTGACTGTCTAGGAAGGAGTACTGCAGAAAGGGATCTAGTGGACCATAAACTAAATATGAGTCAACAATATTACACTGTTGCAAAAAGAAAAACAAACAACCACCAAATATGATTCTGAGATACATTAACGTGAGTGTTGTGAGAAAGGCATGAGAAGTAGTTCTTCTGCTCTACTCTGCACTGATTAAGTCTCAGTTGAAATATTGTGTCCAGTTCCGGGCACTACATTTTAAGAAAGATGTGGATAAATTGGAGAAGGTCTAGAGAAAAGCAACAAAAATGACTAAAGGTCTAGAAAATATGACCTATGAAGGAAGACTCAAAGAGCTGGGTTTGTTTAATCTGGAAAAGAGAAGACTGAGAGGGAACATAACATTTTAAATACCTAAAAGGCTGTTACAAGGAGAAGGGAGAAAAATTGTTGTCCTTGACCTCTGATGATTGGACAAGCAGCAATGGGTTTAAATTGTAGCAAGGGAGGTTTAGGTTGGACATTAGGAAAAACTTCCTCTCAGGGTGGTTAAACACTGGAATAAATTGCCTAGGGAGGTTGTGGAATCTCTATCATTGGAGATATTTACAAGCAGGTTAGACAGACATCTATCAGGGGTGATCTAGATGGTGCTTGGTCCTGCTGTGAGGGCAGGGGGCTGGACCTGATGATCTACTGGTCCCTTCCAGTTCTAGTATTGATTCTATGATCTTTATCTGCTAAGTGGCCATTCTTTGGCAGGTAAGGGGCAAAAATCTGTATCTTAGCAAGGGAACAACATGGAGTTCCCATACACATGGATTGCCTGCTGGAAATGCTTCTTGGAGGGGAGGCAGGACTATAATAAGGGGGCAGCCTAAGACACCCGTCTCTCTTCCTTTGCCCATCAAATTGATTGCACCGGAAGCAACAAGGGAAGCATTTGCTGCCCTTTGCGAAAAGGGGTTTGATCATATGTTGAAAGCATATGGTGAGAAACTTGCTTGAGTCTAGTACAGTTTGTTAAAGCAGATTATTATAGGTTGAACTTCTCTAATCCAGCACTCTGTGGTCTGGCAACACCCGTGGTCCGGCATGATTTTAATCAGTCAGATGTCTACTTATCATGGATATAGCCAAGTTTCCTGTAATCCCAAAAAGTTTTACAGCCACCAGTCCTGGCTCTCAGTGTTTTGTGCTGTTATTTAGCTCTGATTTATCCCTAAACATCGTCTAAGAATCCAGTAAACAGTGGAAGTGTTGGCAATGCTGCTAGATATTAATGACCTCCCATGGTCAGGCAAATTCTCTGGTTCAGCACTGGTCAGGTTCCAAGGGTGCCAGACTGAAGTTCAACCTTTAATAAAATCTCTTTTTCTTGTGGCCATTTCTCACTTTCATACCTCATTACTTGTACTCAAAATCTCTTGATAGTTAATACATTTGTTTTATTTTCTCTAAACCAATCTGTTTATATTGAAGGATCTGGGAAACTCCACTTGGGCAGCAAATTATAAAAATATTTATTTTAAAGAAACAACAGACCAAAACTAAGATGTATTGTACAGGAGAGGACAGGGCAGTATAGAACATACATTTCTGGGTGTATATTGGGGTTACGCTGCAATATAACTAAGGCTGGTGAGAGGCAGAGTCTAACCCTAATGTGGCTGGCAGGTTGCAGTTCCATACACTTTTTTCTGTAATACTTTCACCTTAAGAATAAACACCCTTCCTTAGAAAGAGCTGTGTGGTAATTTGTGACTGGACAGTTACCCGTTTGAAGCAATCAGGGAAGAAAAGTGCAGGCACTTATCTGTTGAAATATGCTTGCTGGAAATATTGCTGTATATAAGGCCTTGGAAACCCCATGTCAAGAATGAGAAACATGGGTCTTGGCCGAATAGAAATAATAAATTAGGGAATGAAAGCCTTTCACTGGGTATCCTCAAGCAACCATGAAGAGGGAATATAGTTGCAGATGACCTAAAACTGACAGTATGTTACTTCCCTCCCATATCCTGCCCTGTAATTTAGGTACTTCAACCTTTGGGAAAGTAGAGTGCATCAAGTTGAAATAGATGATGAAAGCTATTTATTGAAGTGTCTTTTCTGAGTTGAGCACTTAAGCCACACATACAATCCATCCATCTTCAATGCATCTTTGCCAACTGAATTAAACCAACCGATTATTCACCAAACTCTTTAGACACAAAGGCTGCAATTCCGAGGTGAGTTTCAGAGTATAGTATTCAGCATAAAAAAAAATGCTGGTCCACTACAAATGTCACTTAAAGTAGTTTCCTTCTGTGCATAAAATAGCCATTCTAGATGCTTAAGAAGATTGAAAGAGAGGAAGGAGCTCAAGTTTGAAAATTAGACTGCTTATGTCAGGTCTGATTCCCCACTCTGGCACGATGAATGCAGAAGTAGGGGCCCAAAAAAGTACCACAAAATCTTATCTCTCCAGGCTTCAGTATAAAACTCCCCCCCCCCCCCCCATTCCTAAAAACCTAGATTTTGGGGATACAAATCTGCTGCCACCACCCAAGTAATGGTAAGAAAACCAGGGAAGAGATCACTTGGGAAATCTCAGCCCTAAGGTAAAACCAGGACACAAACATTAACCAATACTAGGTTAATAAAAAAGAAATAACTTGTATCACCATCACAATACTCCTGTTACAAGCATAGTTGGATTGGCTAGATGATAAGAGCCCCCAATTAATAAACTCATGGGGAATTTTCCCATGGGAACAAAACTTAGTTACAAAAGAGAGGAAACCCCATTTCTAAATGCATAGACATCAGATTCCCATTCCCAAACCATAAAACAATAAATCCTAACGGATTTATCTAAACTTTACCCTACTTACAGAGAGTGAAGAGTCTTTTCTGGGAGCGAGACATTTTGTCTGTCCCCCTCAGTAGCTGCACAGATACTGCCCAGGGACAAAGTAGGGGGAAAAAACAAAAATTCCTTTGTCTCAGTTTGAAATCCCTATCTGCATTTCGATTGGCTGACTGTTACCTGGTAGGTATAGTTAACCCCTTAGTCCCCAGGCTGCTGCCCCTCCCTCATGACCATGACAGCTTTATACAAGCTTGTCTGTTGCCTTCTCTAAATGTCTGAATTAAACAGATCAGAGGCTAGGTGCTGGCATGGAGGTGCAATGCCCTTAATCTTATAAGTGGCTCTGCTGAGCACAGTAATCAGAAATCGTCATGATAGGAAATATCCCAAATGTCTCTTCTTTGCTTTGAAACAGAGAGCAGGAAGAAGCTTACCTAGTCTTCTTGTAGTTACCTAATACCATCAATTTCCAGTCACAGCATCCAGGCAAGACACTATCCTAATTGGTTGAAAATAATTTTCCTAATATTTTATTAATGTTTTCAACAACTCAATTTCCACATAATCATTCCTTTATTAGTCCAAAGGCATCTTAGTATTAGTTACATCCAAAGAATCAGTATAGCATACACACCATTATACCGGTTAGCAACAGTAGTTACAAGCATTGTCCAAGTATAGCCAAATCAAGATGGGAAGACAGTGGTAAGGAAAAGCCCTTACAAAACCCCCCCTAGGAAATCACTTAAAAAATATAACAAACAAGGGATGTCAATGCTGGTTACTGGAACTCAGCTAATGTCTGTTAAAGCAGTTCAGAGCTGCACTCTGGTCTCCCATGGTATTCCCCCCCTTATCTCAACTTTGCCATATTTTTTCTCAACTACTGGACTAACCATGTCTAGCCAATTAATCATGTTCCCTTTATTTCCCAATTCTTCAATAAAAGATAATGCTGATATTGCAAAGCATCACTATACATTTAACACAAACAATTCTTCTCTCCCATAAGTTCATTAATTTTGGTCACATGCTTTGGGCCTCCTACATATGCTAATATTTAAACTGAATTCAAGACCATAGTTCAGTGAGGCCTAATATTGGCCTATATTCCCACATTATCCCAAATAGCTTACAATATAAACAAAACAACCATTTTTGCTCAGTCCCTTTCTTTGGCTCCCAAGCATGCAGCATCAGAATCACTAGAGTAAACAATGTTCCTTTTCAATTAATATTTTCTTCTTCTGCTTAAAATATTATAAATATTTTAAAAATGTACTTTGCCACAGTAAATATAGTCATAGGCAGTGAAATCACAGCTCTCAACATGATTCTAGTACTGATATCAGTGTCAGGATAACTGGAAAACTAAGTATCAAACTTAGACTACCATCACAAATATGAAACATATTCTTGCCTGTCACTGTTATATTTTAATATCTAAATTAAAACAAAGCTAAAGCAATTTGCTTTATTCAAGTTGTTGCTTAACTAACACTGGTGGAGCTGGACAGAGAGCAAGTTCTTAGATAGCTACAGATTCTGTTTTCAAAATACTGCAAAAAGCATAATTTTTTAGCCAGTCTTCTTAAGAACGAGACCACTTCGTTTTGTTTAATATGTCACATTCCAAGAGCTGGAATTAAAAGTGAGTACACTGAGAATTCCCATTATTTATAACTTTGTATCCACTAAGTTCTCTTTCCAGCGTGCCTGTGTGATAGTTGTGCTGCTGTAGCAAAATGACCTAAATTACAGTAAAAAGTAATCCAGCAAAGAGGATTGTTGAAGTATTTAAAGATGTATTCTTTAAAGGAGCAGAAAAGGGAGCTGGAGAGTGAGAGGATGTCAGTGCTCCTATGACAGGTACTACAGGGGTCATGTCCTTCCTCCTTTACAGTCCCTATTTAACCATTATTAAATAGGGGAAAGGTGGGCAGTTTCCAGCAGCAAACAGGTTGGGGACCAAGATGGGCAAAAGGGGAAGGCTGATAGCAGGCCCCCCACGCATATAAAAGTGATTATGGAATTAACTGCACTTTATTCCTATATGTCTGGGATTACCTGGCAGATATAAAGTTGTGACCTAATTAAGCATCTCCTGTCCTTCTTCCAGCAAAGACACTTAGAAATCAAGATGTAAAAAAAGGTGGTTGGGGGTGAAGAGTCATAAAAATTGCTAAAGACCAGTGCTTCTTTTGTGACAGTACGGCCCAGCATGCATTACTGGCACCTCCAGATGCAGTACCAGTACCTCCAGTCAGAGCTCAACAACTTTTCCCCTGGAGTACCGGCACTTTTTTTTTTTTTAAACAAAAAAAGCACTGCTAAAGACTAACATTAACCAGCTGTTGATATATATGAACACTCATGCAAAGGATTGTATATGTATCATGACAACTCATACTGCTCATATGTCATTAGAATGTCAAGGGTAGTGCTCTATGTGGGTATGTTTTTATTTATGCATCTCTTTCACTTTAAGGCTAGAAGATAACAGGATGGTCCTTGAAGCACTAAGTCTTGTAAGGAGGAGTTCTGGAATCTGTACCTGAACTTGCAAGTGTTAACTATGACATTTGTAAGTTTAATGTAAAATCAAAATAAAGTTACCTACAGCTGTGAAAAAAATCTACCATTTGCAATTTGGAGTCTGTCCTGATACAATTGTGCAAGAAATAAAAGGGGGAGAAATCAGATTAGAAACTTCAAGGCATTCAGCAATTCTGTATTAAAAGATCTCATGCCAATGCAAATTAATGTACATTTATAACCAATTAAAAATATGGATACTAGCTAAATCATTAAATAGCAACTACCTCCAAGTACAGTATGGCTACGTCTACAATGAACAGTTATTTTGGAATAAGCTATTCTAGAAATAGTTATTCCGAAATAGCTTATTTCAAAATAGAGCATCTACATTGCAGGGAAGCCTCAAAATTAGTCCAAGGCCGGCTTCCCTAATGTAGACGTGCTATCTCGATTTACAGCCCCATGAAGAATAACTTGGAATGGTCCCAGTGAGGGGCCATTTCAAAACAAAAAAGAGTGTCTACACAGACCTTATTTTGAAACAGCTATTTCAGAATAGGTGTAATTCTTTGTAGAATGAGGTTTACAGAAGTCAGAATAAGCCATCCATTACATCAAAATTATTTTGCAATAACGGAATTGCTGTGTAGACACTCGCATAGTTATTTTGGAATAATGGCCGTTATTCCAAAATAACGTTGCTGTGTAGACATACCCTGAAATAGGTCATATTCAACTTATTTTGGAGGGAGAGGTTGTGGTGTGAAGAACTGCTCACTGATGTTTTCTATACAAATATTTTCTTAGCAAGCTATGTTTCATTCTGGTATGCTATGCTTCCATGTAGAACAATTGTCTTCTAACACATGCAGCTGAACGAGAACTAGATCAGATTTGGTAAGTGCTCTTGTGGGAAATAATGTCTACAATATTTCACTAAAAATCTGCATTGTTAAAGTATAGTGCAACATCTCAGAACATTTCACGTTCAGTATATTCACTGTAGTTTTACCACAGTCAGAGTTTATAAAGCAGTAGGGTGCACGGATTTTAATCAATGTTGTTTTAAGTTCCTTTTTGTAATCAGGGAGCAGTAATTTAAACTGTTTTGTATTTGTGCTTTTAATTTTCTCCCCTAAAGAAAGGTTCATTCTTATTGGTTGGTATAAAAACACATGTAATCAAATATTTTTGCTAAATCAGGAGGATATTCTATATACATATTTGTTTAAAGAATAATATAGCTTTACTATTTATTCAGATTCTTCATTTGCACATTGTGAGATTATGAATAAAATATTTATTTGATGGATTTTTTTTTGCTCTAGATTTGTGTTGAACTATATTTTGAAATTACGTTACAAATATACAGAAGAACATTTTAAAATTGTTTCTAAGTTAAATAAAAATGTTTAAGTGCACTGCATATAGGATACAGAACTTCTTTAATTAAGAGATTTTAATAGAATATACCAAGTTTAGCACTTAATTTCAAGTTTTTAAACTGGTTCATTTAAAAAAAAGAAAACATGTATTTAAAATGTAAATGTATTTAAATTTATCCACCATGTCAAGTTGTGTTTTCAGGTAAAATAGAACACAAAACTACTTACCCAGCATATGGGAATAAAATAGAGTATGTTTTCTTTTAAGGCACAAATTCCATTACACAAATAAAAAAAAGCATATAACTGTTTCAATGCTGACTTTTAACCATTCTTTGAGAGAGCCATCTATCTGAACACAGATAGCTCAATTTTTTATATAATTAAACTTATGCTAGGGTAAAGGTCAGTCTACTCACTCTCTTCCAGTGTAAATACAGAAATGAAGAAATTTATCTATGGTAGTAAATTACAGAAACAGTTTGCATCATTACAAAATGTAAGTGTGAAATATTTTCCATGATGAAAGATATTTTACAAGGCAACCATTAAAAAAAAATAGAAGTCAGGAGAACTTTGATACTGAAACAAATTCACTTGTTCATCCTGTGGAAGAGTAGTGCATTAAAAAAAATGTTAAAATACTTTGTGTTTCAGTTCAGCTGCGCTTGATTCAAGTGCTGCTCAGAGGTTTCAGTTGTTATAATTTAAACATAGTCACTGCCTTAGCAACGAAAATACCAGGAAAATGTTCATGTTCACAGAATAAATAGATGCAGTCTTTTTTGCAATAAGTTATCTCACTCCAATATGGGAAGTCATCCATTCCAGACCTTGGCATAATCTGAAAATTAATAAGAGAAGTTGCCATGAAGCTTTTAACCATTTACTCTCATATAAATCATCCTACCAAAAAAGCATCATCTTTCACCATCAATTACAGGTGTATGTGGCCTTGATAGGATTTCTCACAAAGCAGTCAAAAAGTTCCTATCACATGACAACTTCCATTTCCATTCCAGAGCCAAAACATGCTACTCTCAATACATATCATCTAAGGAGTGAAAGGAAAGGTGTGTTTCCCACAAAGCAACAAAAATAGCTTATCATCATGTTGTAGAGCAGGGTTTTCTCAAACTTTATTGCACTGTGATCCTCTTCTGACAACAGAAGTTACTATACAAATTCCAGAGGTGGGGACTATAGCCTTTGCCTTCTCCAGCCCCAACAGCCTGGACTTTGGGGCCAAAGCCCAAGGGCTTCAGCTTCAGCCTGGTGTAGTGGGGTCTGGGCTTTGACCCCAGACCTAGGCAAGTCTCATGTCAACCCTCAGTTTGATAATGGCTGCCTTAGGGTTAACACAAATACCAAATTTCAAATGTTGCTTACACTAGATCTTCATTCAACATCAGTGTTAGTGAACACAAAAGAAAATGAGGTTCAAAAGTGATCCTAACAGTGAGGCTAAAAGCCACAATCTATTTAGATTCTGTAACCTCTGGTCAAATCAGAGTTGCTGCCCTGACTTATAGATTTGAAGCAGTCATTACAGGTATTACAGAAACCAAGCAAAGGGCGAGTATGCCAGGGTATGAGGCATACTACTACAGGCAGTCCCCGGGTTACGTACAAGATAGGGACTGTAGGTTTGTTCTTAAGTTGAATCTGTATGTAAATCGGAACTGGCGTCCAGATTCAGCCGCTGCTGAAATTGACCGCACACCAGGGTCAGCAGCTGCTGAAACTGATCAGCCGCTGATTCCAGGAAGCCCGGGGCAGAGCAACTGTGCCTCGAGCTTCCTGTTGTCAGCGCTAGTCAGTTTCAGCAACGGCTGACTTGGGGACGCCTGGGGCAGAGCAGCTGGGGTGCTGCTGGGTTGCTCCAGTAGCGCCACTCCTCGGCGCTATTAATTGACCGCACACCAGGGTCAGCAGCTGCTGAAACTGATCAGCCGCTGATTCCAGGAAGCCCGGGGCAGAGCAACTGTGCCTCGAGCTTCCTGTTGTCAGCGCTAGTCAGTTTCAGCAACGGCTGACTTGGGGACGCCTGGGGCAGAGCAGCTGGGGTGCTGCTGGGTTGCTCCAGTAGCGCCACTCCTCGGCGCTATTGGACCAACCCAGCAGCACCCCAGCTGCTCTGCCCCAGGCGACCTGATTCAGCTGCTGCTGAAACTGACCGGCAGCGGCTGGATCA